ATTTTGTAGGGTTTGGATTATCGCTGGGTGCAAACTGGCACATTGAAAACTGAGTCTCCTGTGAGGGCTCTGAGTTGGAATTTAGAAGGCACACGTTTGCTGACAGCTGGAGCAATTGTTCAATTGTGGCATTTGAAATCTGAGTCCATTGAAGAGTCTGAACCAGTGACGTTTACTTTGGGCGAAGGGAACGCGGATGGAGATCAAGATGACCATGAGAAACCTCAAGGTAATTGTTCTCTAATTGATGATAATAGAATGCTATGTTGGTTGTCTATAAATTGACTAGCGAATAACCCAGTTTATTTGATATTCGGAGTAAAACAATTTAAAGATGATTAATTTAGTAAACCCGTTTCTTCTCGTTTCTTCAATTCTATACCATTCAAATTCTCTCATTAGTAATAAGTATAACTTGTAAATTGAAAAGCTAAAAATAATTTAGCATATTAAATTTATTAATATATAAATACGACACAATTTTAAAGCCAAATGTCGAAATAATAACAAAACTCAAGCCAATCTCTAAAATAACATTTTTAGTAAAAATGTCTGCTTTTTGTAATTAATATAAATCTCATCTTGACCTACTCTTAATTCTCAGATCAAATATTACTATTTAACCCTAATTCTATTTTTCTTCTAATGATTTTGTTGTGTATCATATCACAATTAAATTTACTTTGAAATTGATGAGTTTACAAAAAGTGTTTTAGTTGGTTGTATGAAGTTTAAGATTTTTTTATAATTGTCTGATTTATATTGCATAAGTTATTTATCTGATTGAAATCTTTGTCCTGGATTGAATCTGACCTGAACTAATTTAATAAACAATAATGAGATCAAATTACGAAAGTACGAAATCCTCGTTTGAAGCGAAGCGTGAAAAGTATACAATTGTTATAATGATTGCGTCTTTATTTCTGCTTAACGATTAAATTTATATGTAAAAGTCAGTCGAAAGTTTTAATTTTCTTAAACATAATTACATAATTAAAAACACACAAATGTTAAAAATGACACTGTAGCAGGCGCGCTATCCGGGGCTTCTCTTCCCATTATCACTCGTTAAGCGAGATTCCAATGTATATAATATTTTCATTTGACCTGTTTTTATCAGGTGGAACATTCGAATACTGTATAAAATTGAATTATACGAGTTAATAATATAGGGCACGTTTTTGCAAATTTCATATACAGTATTGATCTTTTAATCGTTTCATGTACTTTGTACTAAATCCCTATTATTTTATTTTCAATCGCGACGTGGCGCCAACATGTTTGACAGTAAAATGGACCTCTCCCAACTTCCATTATAGCACTTCTGATCTAGATAATAGTGCATGATATTATTCTGAATGTTCTCTCTCTCTCTCATGAATATAAATTGAAAATATCTTAGATTATATTTAATCACAATCCATAATTGAAAACACGATTATTATAAAATATAATTACTTAAAGTTAATTTTATTTATTTACATATTTATTGGTTAACAACTTCAGAATGTTTAAATTCAGAAGAATCATTGGTTAATTATGAAGATAATCTAAAATAAATTAATTAATTCTGTGAGTGGCGATGGTACATGCATTGTACCTTTTTAATTATATCTTAATTTTCTCGAAAAGAGAAATTTCCACGAAAGAGAAATTAGCAAATTCGATTTTTTATGCATATCAATTTGTATTTACATGGCCCTTCAAATAGTTAACTGTAATAATGCAAATGTTAGTTAGGTTTTCATATATTTTAGGTGTTGATATCTTCTTTATGACAAAAATATTTGCTTTGTCTATCTACAATATTTTCCTATTTAGACAATGTATAAAGAATTGTTTGATCAACATCGATTTTATATTAATGAATAGGAAATATTATACATCTTCTACACTTCTAAGCTGAGACACGTATTAAGTTAATATCTTATGAAATTGCAGAAAGTTTCCAAAGTGTTTCAAGTATCTACGGTGACCGCATTTTCATTTGAATTTAAATTATATTTATATGTTCCGATTTAGTTTGAAACTAATATCGTATTCTTGTTAATTTCTTTTAGAGCAGGAACCAGAGCAAGAACAGGAGCAAACTTGCTGGCAATGTGTTTGGAAAGCGAACACGGCTACGCCCGTTCAACATTTGGCGTTCAGCCCTGATGGAACTTTATTCGCGACGTCCGGAGAGAACGATCGTTTAGTGAAAATTTGGTATGAGAATAAGCATTTTCTGTTCACTTCCAAAAGTGTAGAAGGGGCACCCGTCGATCTGGAATATGGATTCGTATACATTGCGCATCCGAGGGCCGTCACCCACATCTCGTGGAGGACCACCAGCAAGTACATGCCGAAGGGATCTGTATCCAATATGCTGGTAACATCGTGCAAGGATAACATATGTCGCTTATGGGTCGAGACGGTATTACCAGAAGACGGATTGGTCAATTTGTCGCAACTAGATCCGCAGGCGAACCACCCGAAGTTCCGAACGCACAGACATAAACATCGTTTCATGCAACGTCTGAAGCACATGAAGACATGTTTCCACATTAGGAGGCATGCCAAGCATCAAGCGCAAGGGCTCGGAGGTGCATCCGCCCCAATACCCACGCTTCCATCCACATACAGCGTCCACGATTTCCATTCGTACGGTTACCATGGTACGGGTGTAACTCCTGGGTTGCATTTCCATCTGGCTGCCTCTGTGAATGCAGAAACTGATATACCTCTGGTACCGAGCATATCCTTCTGCAATCCGCGACCGGCGTTCGTTCTTCATTGGTTAGATAACAAGGAGATGCATTTCAGCATGCAGGCCGAATCGCTTCTCGAAGAGTTGACTAGACGAGTCGTGGAGAATCCGGATTATGAAGAGAGCGGTAATGAGGAGTCCTCTTCTGGACCCGACGGACTGGACGCGAAAATCGAAACGTTGCTTCGCGATTGGCACCACAGTCCAGATCTCCTGTTCAGTATTCACCCGGTCGATGGAAGTTTCTTGATCTGGGTTGTGGAATGGCTGGATGAGTTCCATCCGGGTTCGTTCAGGCAGGCGCAAGTTTCGTTCTCTACACGTATACCTGCAGCATTCCCATTAGGAGACTCGCTTAGTATGTCCACGACGGTCAGTCTCTACAGCACGGCTAACAGTATTAAGCATTTGGTCAAGGACGTAGTCAATAACGCCGCTGCGAATAACTTGACCATAGTGAAGGAAGAAGATGAGAATGCCTCGACGGCAGAGGCACAAACTACGAGTGTCACCGAAGAACCCAAGGATCCTTCGCCTCTAGTCTCTTTGGTCACAAAGCACGATAATGGAACGTTGAATTTGTGGCAACTCACGTTTGCGGACAAGAGCAAGTTCAGCCAGGTTCTCAGCATTGGTCACAAGTCGCGTGCTTCCGGTCATCGATTCCGCGTCAACGATATCACCTGCCATCCGGTGCTGCCCCTGCTTCTCACCACGAGCCATCACAACATTGTGGAACAGAACCAGACGAAACACAATTCAGTAAGTCAAAAAATAGTACATTTTATTATATTTGAATACGTAATATAACAATATTTTTGTAGGGTTTCTGTAGTGAACTGATTCTATGGCGCGTGGATGCAGTTGGTCCACTATCAAAATCAGGTGGAATTTGCGAGTTGGCGAGGATAAGTTCGCCCGAACCATCAGCGTTCAGCAACGTGGCATGGATCCCAACCTTATTACCATCATCAACTTTAGGCAATCAATCGAATTCACCAAGCGCGTGCTTCGTGGCCTCAGATGGTCACTGCCTCCGAGTGTATCAAGCTGTCATTGATGCGCGTACTTTACTTGCCGACATTTCGTTCAAGGAGAGTCGCATGGCCGACTCCACTGAAAGCATGTCGATGTCCGATCAAAGTACATTCAACGATGAAAGTCTCTTGGAAAAGATTAACATCGTTTCACAGCAGAGCACCTCTCGTCCGGGCTGTATAATACAGCTAGAAACCATTTCGGAAGCAGTCCGATACCAAAACACAACGTTCCTGCACGTTTATCAGGAGCAATTGATAACTGGTGAAAGGAGTTCAACGATCAATATGTCCGGGCACGACGCGATGGTTGATTTGCAGCAGAACATTGTTTTCGAGCAACCGTTTTACATCGTTCTGTTGGATTGTACCGATCAATACACGATAATACACATGTGGAAACTGACCATAGCCTCGAACGAAAGTGATTTGAACTTGTCGGGAAGTCAGATGTACGTTCCCGATTGTAATTTGGTGCAGGATGAAAACGATTTGTCCAGGAAGAACAGTATGGAATCTCTGCACGAAAAACAGGCTAAAGTTAGTCCACACATTACCATAACAACCAGCAGAGAAATCAAGCAAGTTTTGCCGTTGCCGGATGGCGTCGAGATAGTTCATGCTTCCCCAGCTGCAGGACATTTAAGCTCCGCTTCTATCTACCCAGCGTGTTTGGCGCCGTACTGCTTTGCAACCGCCTGCAGCGATGGCATGATTCGTTTCTGGACTGTATCGAATGAAGCGAATACAGTCAAGCAATCTAAGCACTTATTACTGGAAGAAGATGGTCAGGTTGTAAACACAGGAAAGGTATGGACCGAATGGATCATGATCAAAGAATCGGCGATTGAGATCGAAGGACAAATATTGAATATAAGTGTGGCGTATTCGGGAAGGTTGGCCGTTGCCTACAAGTATGGACGCAGCTTTACGCGTCCTAATAAAGATCATGACCACGATTCGCGTTACATTAACTTATGTGTAGCAATTTACGAGTGCGAATCGACCGGCGGATCAGAGTGGATCCTCGAAGACATAATTCATCTGAAGAATATACATTTACCAAGGATTTCCATCGATCGTCACCTAGATTTAAGCTATCTGTATGATTCGAAAACGCTTAAGAAGAAGCAGCGTCTAAACGAAGTGCTGCACACTTTCTCCAATGACGAGAGACAGAATGAATCGAGCATTAAACCAACGTTGTTGGCAGTGCCAAGCTTCAGCACTCTTCAAAGTCTGAGGAAGTCTATTTCTGAAATGGGTAACATCTGTCCATTGACTCAGAAACACATAGTTCAATTGGATTGGGTCTCTAACGAGGATGGGTCTCACATTTTAACTGTAGCATGCGGCAGCAAGATTATGCTGTACACACCACTATCTACAGACTTGGCTCAGGCTAATGTTAAAGCTATGAAGGTAAACTATCAATATTTGAATTCATAAACGTGTTTTAACTTGTCTTCTATTTAGGAATCTATGACTAATAATAGACCGATCCTGAGAAAAGCCAGTTCGTTGGCGCAACCGCTGTTCGTAGATGATTTCAAATGGATGACGTTGAGAAAGATCGAACTGGAGACAGCCGATGGATTGCCGGCCTTGCCCATGCAAATCAGTTGGGTGAGAGACGGTATTTTAGTGGTTGGAATGGATTCGGAGATGCACGTTTACACTCAATGGAAACCCCAGAATCCCGCTCTTCAATCTTACGACACCATGGATGATGCGAGGGGTGCTAGAGACGTTGATTTCAGAACATTAACTCAAGAGAACCAGCGCAAATTGGCTGCCATACCGACCCTGGGTCGTATAAGTTCCGTAAACTTACAAATTCTGGATAGGAAACGTGTTAATAATAAAGAAACTAATTTGGATTATATGCCCGATTACGGGTTATTCGAGGCGTCGCGCATCGCCTGCCCTGTATTGCCTCAGTACCATCCCAAACAGTTGATGGAGTTACTGAATTCAGGGAAAATTCGTTGGGTCAAAGCCATCCTTTCGCATTTGGTCAAGTGCATCGGCGGGAATTTCGAATGTGCAGAAGAAGTTCAGGGCTGGGCTCGAGCTCGCACCTTGTCCGTTAGTTATCCGGCTGGATCACCCGAACACCGAGCGAGCATCAGTGAAATTACCTTAGATTACGACGAAATTAAAAATATTCCTCCGCTACCGCTTTGGACTCTATTGGCAGCCGACAAAGAGAGACCAGTGACCCAGGAAGAGAAGAAGGATTACAATGAATTATTCGATAATAACATTGGAATGGATGAGTCCCTAGACACACTTCTGGATGATCAACCTAGGTTGGAGAGACGTCCATCTGAGAGAAACCTTGGTATCGCTCACTTTACGCCGAAGCAAGGCCGCATCTTGTCTAGGTTGTTGACCCACACCCATTTGCCGGGTCTCTCGAGTTTAGATCAAATGCACTTACTGGCATTAGCCGATACAGTTTCCACCTGTAATACCGATTTGGCGGAGAGGTTCGCAATAGACGCAGCGAAATCCGCTATGGCCAAAGAGAACCTTGTTGGCCAATCTGATGATGTAATCACCGATTCGCTTGATGATTGCGGATTAAGATTTTTGCTAGCTATGAAACATTACGGATATCTATTGAGGTGTCTTCCGCTGGCACAAAGAGCGCACTTCCAAAAGCAAGGAGTCGGCACTAATAATCTAGCATGGGCGTATCACTCCGAAAGTCAAGAGGAATTACTCAATCTAATCCCGAGCTATGCGAAGGGCGAACCAACCTGGCCGCTGCTGAGGGAACTGGGCGTGGCCTGGTGGATTCGTAGACACGCCTTACTGAAGCAGTGCGTTGTGATATTGGCGAAAGCCGCGTATTCCTCCAAGCAAGATCCAATGGATGCTGCAATTTACTACGTCGCCATGAACAAGAAGAACTTGCTGTGGGGTCTGTACCGTTCTAAACGCGACGATAGGATGACTGCCTTCTTCGCCAATAATTTCTCAGAAGAACGTTGGAGGAAGGCCGCATTGAAAAATGCTTATGCTCTGTTGGGTAAACAGCGCTTCGAACACGCCGCAGCCTTCTTTTTACTGGCCGGAAGCTTGAACGATGCCGTTGAGGTAAGTTTCAAAACAATCTTCATAAACACCTCAAGTAAATTCAAAATATTCAGTAAATTATATATTTTTTTTTTCAGATTTGCTTACATAAATTGAACGATCTGCAATTGGCAATCATCATAATTCGTTTATACGAGGGAGATGGTGAAACGCTGAAGAAGTTACTTTACGAGAAGATACTGGGATGCGATCCTACTGGAAACAACCAGGATATAACCAAAGCACATCCGGATCCATTCCTGCGATCGATGGCACTGTGGACTCTGAAAGAGCAACAATCTGCGTTGAGTACGTTGCTGATCGGAAATGCGGGATCACACCACGAAACCAACGAGGAAGATGCCCGGGAGAGTCGCGAAGCAGATCCAAACGTCTTCAATTTCTACGTGTATCTTCGGACGCATCCTCTGCTGATCCGTCAGCATGTCGCAAATTCAGGCAAAAGGAAGGTGTGGCTTCCAGGAGGTAAACAGGTTATTGTTGAAGAGTCCATTACGCCATTGGAAAGGCAGTTGTATTTCACTACTGCTCATGGCCACTTCCGCGCTGGATGTCCGGCATTGGCCCTCGAAGTACTTTCGAAATTGCCTTACGTCGTTGCTGATCCAACCAAGCAGGCTGCAGCCACAACAAATCATGTTGCCAAAGAATCTGATTCTCAGATTAACACTGGAATTATTTCATGGGAAACGGCGCCGCAAAAGGCCGAAGATCTAGACTGGGGCGCGCCATCATCTGTACAATCGGATGAATTGGTTTTGAAATGGGACGATGATGAAGAGGAAGACTCCGATGGTTCTGATGGAGGTCTGAAAATGGGCGGCAAGAAGGAAGTTGATGAAGATGTAGACGAAGACGAGGAAAAATCGAAATCTGCTGGTGAACAAATTGATATAATGGCGCAACAACTTAAGTTCGTTGCATGCCTTAAGATTTTAATGGAGGAGTTGTCCACGTTGGCAACCGGCTTCGAAGTGGACGGAGGGCAACTCAGATATCACCTGTACATATGGTTGGAGAAGGAAGTTGAAGCTCTGAGAGAGTTGTGCAACTACACGTCTTCAGATTTGACCGATTCAAATGACCTCGAGCAGCCGCCCGACAACGACAATCCCTTGGATTCGAATCGCACTGAACGACCGACCTTGCACGAGATTCTGGTGCAGGAAAAGCTCGACTTCGAGGCTAAAGTTCATAGGGCAGCAAAGAGAAAACGATGGCTAAGGGCCAACGAAACGTTGCTAAGAACGCTGCTGAGTTATTGTTCTCTGCACGGCGCTACTGGTGGTCTGGCGTCCGTTCGTATGGAACTTGTTCTTCTATTGCAAGAACTGCAGCAGGAGAAAACTCATCAGCAACTTCTCAGCCCGTTGCCGTTCCCTACTAGTTTACCTCTTTTGGCTGCAAGCGTTGCGAGCAGCAAGACCGTAATTGCTGATCCTATTAGATATTTACAGTGTTTAACGCACGACATGCTCCAGAGTGTAAGTTGGATTTCACCTAACAGATATTACTTTATTTGATTCTCTTTTATCTTTGACCGAAGATGGTGGAACTACCACAACCGGAGACCAATCAGAGCCAACTGCTGGTGTTGCGTGATTTAGCTGTAGCTCTGTCCGCTTGTATTTACCAATCGTTGTGCGATTCAGATACATTCAAGAGCAATCTACAAGATACCTTGGTAAGAATTAGATTTTATTATAACTGATAAGATACTCGCAAAACGTTCTATGCATTTTTATTTACACAAAATTCATTAAAAGAATCACAACGATTTAATGAACACATTAACTAATTGTATTTCATCGAAATAACATCATGTCTATATGATTGTTAATCTATAAAATAACAAACAATTTAACCTATTGGTTGATTTATATAAACATAGATATATAAACATTAATTGCTACAAGACCTGTAATTGTGGCAAGTAGCATTGCAAAGTGTTTTCCTTTTAATACATAAACATGTTTGCGGACGACAGTACTTCTTACACCCGCAAAATGAAGATTTTCGAGGTCTATCGTAGAAGGCCTTATTCAGTTCTATTGCAAGCATTTTTTCTTCCGCGTCATCCGATAAACTATATTCGTTTTCAACATCCATATTTCCAATTATTTCATTGTCAAGATTTTCAAATTTAATTTTTTTAGTTCTATCATCATCCTGCACTGATTGGGTCTCACGAGCTCTTTTGTTTGATTCTATTGGTTTTTCATCGACGTTTTCCATTCTTCGACAAAATAAACATACTACTTGTTTTTTTGTACGACCAACTACTCGAATATATGACCGTGCTCCATGCAAATGTTCTTTGCATTGTGTACATATTAAGGAAATAGCTCGGTCATCACAAACAATGCAAGGTTTCCTCACGGGTTTTGTCTTAATATTTTTCTTCAAATATTCCATTCGCTCAGATAATCCAATTGGATTAATCACAATTCCACAACTATCACTATCAGAATCCTCATCTTGTGGGATTTTTCTGCCCATGTATGGTCCAAAGAGGTTCACAAAGGGAGATTGCTTGATACAAGGTTCATAAGTATTGTTTATACTTAATTGTACAGTTGAAAGTCCATCTGTCCATTTTTTTGTCTTTTCTTGTGTCATCCAACTTACCAATGCCTTTTTCACAACCTTATTGGTTGTTTCAACAGAGTCCTGACTGCCATGCACAATATTCAATTCTGGCCATTTAATCTTCAAACTTTTAATTACAGAATTCAAAAAATCTGGCCCATTATCAGATAGTATTATATATGGAGCACCTAAGAGACAAAATATGTGTTTGATTTTATCAGCAACTTCTTCAGGAGCATTTGTTTTCAGTGGCTGTAAAACACTATACTTTGTTATATAATCTTTATAGTTCAAAATGAAATTGAATTCTCCATCATTCTTTGACTGCATATCAATAAGAGACACATGGCACCTTGAATCCATGAGATTAGAAGCTGCCGGTTTTGCAGCCAATTTTCTCATCGATTTTTTCTTAGCCTTGCAGTATTTGCACAATTTCACATACAAATGAATTACCTCTTTGGTAATGTTGGCATATTCTTTTTTCAACTCCTCAAACATACCTAAGGATTAATTACATTAACTATAATTAGAAAAAAAAATATTAAAAAAATAATCAGATTCTTACCTTTCTCTTGATTGTGTCTTGTTACTAAATCAAGTGAAGAAATTATGTCAAATAGTTCATCTGATGCTACATGATATCTAATAATTCCAGAATTAGCTTTCTTTCGATCAATCATTTTTTCTTCATATCCCTTGTCTACTATATCGTATCTTTTGAAACGTCTCTGTTGTTTTGGTGATAACGCCTTATTTTCTGCCTTCAAAGCGATGGCCAATTTTACTTCATTCATTGTTTGCTCGTATTTTGCTCTTGACAGTATATTATGCTTTTTCTTCGTTTCATTGTCACGATTTAACAGTTTTTTAACTTGCTCATTAAACTGTTTCCTGGGCGTCATTGTATGACAACTTCTTTAATACTTCTCAAGCAATTAACCACCTAACCTTACACTAGTGATTTGACAGCAAGATGGGGGTAATGAATGGGCGTATTTGCGCAGAACTAGTTATACATGCGCAGTATTAGATGTATCGATTTATCTCTGTATTTAAATGTTTAACGAAGAATTGTTGATAACATTTTAAAATGATGCTAGTCATTAACAAAAATACAAGCATTGAACAAAATATTAAAATTTCTATTTTCTTTTCAAGGATAATTGCTCGAGTCATTTGGTCGGTAGAAGACGCCGCATGTCGATTAACGAAAGCCAGCAAATTATTACCACTCCATCGAAATGGCCTGGAGTACCGTCGCTTAGGGCGTTGTTGGCTAGAGAAAAAGACGAGGACACGCCCAGATTAACTGTCGTATTGTGCGAATCTTTCGTGGCGACTTACCTGGCTCTCCTTCTGTATGGTCTGGCTAGCTGTGACTGCATAATCTTGCATCACGTCGCAGGACATACTTTCACCACAAAGACATGGGGAATGTAAGTGTTATTATGATTGAGAGATGTGAGTTTCTCAATGTATTTTGTACATAGGTTGTTTGGAGGCGGGATCAAGAAGTTACTGAGAACAGCGAGCATAGGGGGCGGATCAGCGGCACAAACGATCGGCACTCCCACAGAGGAATCTGGTAACACTGTGACGTGGCTGAATAAGCAACGCGCTAAACTGAACAACAAACTTTTGGGTCACCAACCCTCGATCATGAAGGAAGACAAGCCAACATACCGTGAGCAGTTTGTCGCTCCCGAGATGAGCATGCTGGCTTATCTGCTCACGAATGTAGTTACGCGTTTCTTATTTTATAATTGGTTTATCTTTACTAACGTTGTATGTTTTTAGCCCAACTGTCATGTTGATTTCGATGATGTCTCTTCGGATTCCGAGAGTGAGGAAGAGGACGTCTTCGATGGTCCCGCACCCGGAGCATCCACGCGTACCGCCAATACCGAACATTCCGATCCTAACTCGTACTCTTGGCTCGTGCTAAAATTAGCCGTTTTGCGGATCGTTCAACAACGTCTTCAAGACTTCCTAGGCGTACGTTTTTACCATATAATTTCTAAATGTAATCATTGTTTGAATGTTTAAATTTAATGTTTAGGTGGCTGGTTTGGAGACTCCCGAATTACCCGTTGCTAGTCCTTTAATTCACAGCGGTCTCCGGAGACTCAACCATTGGCAGGAATGCTTGAAGAATGAGTTGGATAGCAGACAATCTCCGCCTGAGTACATACCCGGATGTTTCGTGGAAAACACTACGGGACCGCCGATACAGAAATACAGGTAAATCTACGAAACAGAGAAATGTGATTGGACTCTAATCTACTTTGAATTTAAACTAGGCAATTGCTAGAGCCGCACAATACTCCGTTCACGAACAAGAGCGGAGCTGGCGCGGCCCGTCGTCTTTGGAACTATCTGGTTCATCAAGAATCCGTCCAGGACGTCTTCATTCGGGCGGTGTTCGGCAAGAGGAGATCTCTTAGCGCTTTAGATGAGGTGCTTCCGCATCCGGAGCCGATGGCTCCGGAACCTGTTAGAATCATCCACAAGGAGCAGGATTCCATAGCGGCGTTCACATTGAATCAGGTCAATCAAGGTCTGATCGTTGTCGCGACGCCACGCGAATTACAGGAGATGGACATTTCGCTGCTACTGGAGTTACCCGCTTGGTTGGAGGATGAGTGCGAGCTGGACATACTCAACCTGAATAAAGATCAACTGGACAGCAGCGTCCCAACGTTCTTGGTCATCCAGAGTGCCGGCGATAAGAACAAGGATACGCAACCTAGCAGCCCTCAGCCTGGGTTGGCCGGACAGAGCGGACGCGGTGCGAGCGTGGTGAGTACAAATCCTTTATCCTGCTATTCCTCGTGATACAGGAATCAGAAAACCGAAGAGACCCACATCTCGATCTGCCTTATACATGGACATTTTTTTCTCTTTTGTTGTGTTCTCTGCTGCGTTTAAACAATGTAAGATTAAGGGCGTCAGCTTCCCGGGCTGCCACGACGCCGGATTCGTCCGTATGGTATTACTCCGTTCAGCCCACATGCTACGGCCGGTCTGTCACTAAACCAAATGAATTTTAAACAGTATATTCAAAACCCTTGACCAAAAAAAAACCCTTCAAATAAATATATTTTACCTTAGGTTTTATTTGCATGCTCATTCATATACAATGGTATATTTATTTTGTATTAGGTTGATTTGTATTTCGGATAATCGATTTTACCTTTGAAATTTGCATGCAAATTGTGTTTTTTCATACAGGTTAATCATAAATTGGTGTCTAGAAAAATCGCATGCGCTTGAATATTAATTATATCATTACGCTTTAAACAACGATTTGCTTGAATCTAAATAATGTATATACATTACATATAACTTGATAATAAAAATAGGAAAAAATATTCTGTTTCTATAA